AAAAAAAAAAAAAAGAGGTTGAGAATTTAGAGGGTTGATATGTTGTGGGGTTGTTAACCAATGTTATAAAACAACGTGTGTACTTCTGTTTCAAGAGAAACTATTTGTTCTGTAAGCCTTCACCTGAAGTACAATAAAAAAAAAAAAACCCAAAGGCAGCGTAACATGCGATGAGGATGAAGAGGAAGGGAGAGGCCAGAGCAGGGAGGTCACAGTAAGGAATTGGGATTTGATTCTAAGTGTGCTGGAGGATTTCAAAGGGAGAAGAATAATCTGATTTACATTTTATAAAAATCACTCTATTCATAATATTGGGCATAGACTGGAAAGAAAGAGGCAAATCTGAAAGTGGACAATCCTATTAGGTGCTATTACAACCGTCAAGAAGAAAAGGGATGATAGTCCGGATTAGGGCAGAAACACAGATAAACGGACAGATAAAATACATACTTTGTAGGTAGAGTCAAAGAACGTGTTTATGGATTGGATGTAAGGTATGAGGAAAGGAAAGAAGTTAAGGATGACCTCCAGATTTCTGGATCTAATAACTGAATAAAAAATTGGCTATTTTTTGAAATAAGGAAGATGGCACAAAACAAATACAGTAGAAAGAAGAATAGGGAGAAATGAAGAGTTCTGTTTTGGAGCTGCAGCTGTTAAGATATCTATGAAATATCTAAGTGGAAACAGCAAGGGAGCAACTAGATATATACATCTGGAGCTCAGAGAAAGTGGTGATAGGGAAATAAACATGGGAATTGTCAGCACACAGCTGGTTTTTAAAGGCCTGGAAATGAATGGGATCACCTTAGGGAAACAGCACAAATACAGAAGAGGGCCCAAAGTCATTTCCTGAGTCACAAAGGAAGGCTCAGCAGAGGAGATCAGGTGGAAGACCAAGGTAGTATATATATATGTAGACACTAAAAAGGAAAGAGCATTTTAAGAAGGATGTACTATGTCAACTGCCAAGAAGAGGTCAAGTAAGATGAGGACAGAGATTACCCACTAGATTTGGCAGCATGGAAATCATTGATGACAATGACAAGAGCAATTTCAGCAGAGGGGTGGGAAGGAAGTCAGATAAGAGTAGGCTGGAGATGGAACAAGAGATGAGGAAGTGGAGATGGCAGGTATAGAAGTGTCTCTGATTTTACTATGAAGGGGAATAGAAAAATGGAGTTGTCAACGAAGGGGAATGCTAGATCAAGGGATGATCTTTAACAACGGAAAATACTAGAATGCATGAGAGTTTGTAATGATGACAGTAATACAAGAGAGAGGAAGAGGCTGGTGATGCAGAAGAGAAGGCAAGTAACCAATGGAGCAAGGTCTGGATGTCTAGAGTAGTAGTCTCCCAAATGGGGTATACACACTCTATGGGAGGTGTAAGTAATCCATTTGCGGAGGTGGGGGGGGATAGTAGAACTGTTTTTTGGGTTTTTTAAATCTAAACAAAGAAATCAAGCTGTAGTATAATATGTATGCATCCACACACACACACACATATGCATGTATACACATACACATGCATTTAATGTGACTGTCATAATGTGTCTACTTTATAAACAACTACCAGTGGTATGGAATCAGTTGGTACTCAGGAAAGCCCAATGTGTACATCTCTTCCCAATTCCACGGTCAGTGATGCCACATTGGCAAACTGTCCAGCAGTATTATTTATTCCATGGAAATCAGGAA